CCTTGCGGTGTGCACGAGATGCGGATCCGCGTGGAGACTGCGCGCCGTCCACCAGCCGCTGAATGGCTGTACGGGCTGTTCGAGCCGACAGAACAACGACAACTGAATGCGGAAATGAATGCTCTCGGCGCCAATGCTCTGATCTGTGTAGCGCCTGCGCGTGCCGCCCTGCGCAGCGGCCCATGGGCCTTTGCGATCCAAAGCGCTCCGGCCATGGCGATTGAATCATGGCGCGAGGCGCGCTGGCTCCATGGCAGCACGTTGAAGCAAAGCAGGTGGGGACGAGGACGCGCGTAAGGACGCGTCGCCATCTCTGCTGTGAATAGAGGGAGAGTGCTGCAGCGTTGGAACCGTAGCTCGGCGCCTCGCCCTCAGCAGAGCGGGCGAGAAAAGCTGAAGCTGTTCGCGCCACGCACTGGATGAGGGTCGATTCCGCATGGTACGGGACCCTGCACGTGGCTTGTGATCTGTGATCTGTGAGGGTGGTCCGCCCGCAGGAGAATTTTGTACACGGTATACCGTGCCTGTGCCGGGTTGTGCATACTTGCGGCTTCTCTGAATGTCTCCTCAGCCCCGCTGCGCCGCCGCCCTCCCCTCATGGTGCGGCGGCGCTCCGGTCCGCTCGCGCTTCGCCGCGCGAGCGGCGCGCAGCGCGGCGATCTCCTCCTCGGTGCGCACGACGGGTGGCGCTCGCGCGCGGCGGTGCTTCTTGCCGCTGCGCGCGCCGCTCGCCTGCGCGCCGTCGGATGGGATGTTGGACAGCTCGGTCGCCTCGCCCAGCACGGGCGCCTCGCCCTCCTCCCCGCCCCGCGCCAGCGCGGCGAGCTCCGCGCCCTCGGCCAGCCGCGTGAGCGCCGCCACCGCGCCCGCATCGCTGCTCGCCTCCCAGAGCGCCGCCGCCACCCTCTCGTGCACGCTCGGGTCTCCGTGCGCGAGGAACCGCTCGAGCGGCGCCGTGCCCTCCGGCGCGGGGGGCAGCCTCGTCTGCATGAGCGGGGCCTATTGGGAGGCTCCGAGAAGGCTCCGAGAAGGGCTTCGAGCAGGTCTCCTCCCTCGTCTGCATGAGGGGCGCCGCCGCCGCCCGCTCGCCAAACTCTTCCTCGGGCAGTGGCCGGTAGCGAGAG